GTGTGTGTGTGTGTGTGTGTGTGTGTGTGTGTAGGCAGCTTGCCTCCCTACTGTGACCCTGATTTAAAATGCTCACCAGAGGAAAAGAGAGCGAAAGGCAGAAATGCAGGTTGGAGATGAATGATAATAAAAAAGATTAAATACACAAATTTGTACTCGCACTGCTCTCTGTTCAGTTTTAAATATTTTCAACTAAAGAAGCTGTTCATTTGGGATCACAACAGCGTTCAGGACTCACATCAAAATCGGAATGGTAATTTGCTGTCAGTTGGGGAAGGTGTACTAGTGAGAATGCATCAAAGACGTTTCACCTCCATGTGCAGATTTTTCTCTGTATGTTAAATTTGTTCCCACACATATTCATATGTGACTGATTACATTGTAACGATGCTCATCATGTAGATACACAATGTAAACAAAGCATGATGCAAATGCAATGTCAAACATGCTGTTATGCCATGTCCTGATTGTGGCAGAGGACAAACATTGAACAATCTCTTAATTTGACATTATTGTATGAACATTATATAATAGAAATCTAAATTGTATTGTATTTTCATTCTAGGGCAGTTTTTTAAGGTTTTGGCTATAGATGCTTTAGATCCAAACAATGTAAATGTTAGTGCTATGGCACATGTTGGTGTTAACAGAAGAACAGAGGACTGAATGCTGCTTTAGATTAAAACTGGAAAGTTGAAATATTAAGTTTAGATGCCAGTGCTAGAGAGAGAGCTGTATGCTATGAATAAGATCAAATTATGATGACATAGTTAATACCCTAACTGCTGTGCTTATAACATTTTCATAGGCTCTGTGTTTTATTTCCACCAACCCCATAATTGTTGTTTAACTTGTTTAAAATCATGAAGGATTCAGTTTATTATAACAGCAGCTGTAGAGGATGGAAAGGTGTTTTAGAAAATAAAAGGTCAACTCAAAGAAGTGTCTTATTTTTAAGTAAATGAGAGATTGCACTGAGTTACAACAGTTCCGGACAGCTGAGATGTGACGTCATGACAGCAGTAGCCAAATATCAATGTCAAGTTCTGTGTAGCTCTTGAAGGAGATGGACGTAATGCTCATCATTTATTCTATCATACCTATAGACCTCTGGCCATGCAGTGTAACAACAGCTAAACATGTCTCATGTCAAGCCCTGACATCCTCAATCTGGTGTGCAGGCTGAACTGACACTTACAGATGGTGATTAAAGCTGAAAGTTGTTGTCTTTAAAGTGAGCAGTGAGCAGTTTTGTCAGAACCTTCACCTGCCGTGATGTTACTTTTCTGTATAATAGACATATCCTTTAAATGATCACACACCCAATGCTAACCCATCAATGAAGAAATCACTTTCAAACAAAAACATACAGCATGGATTGAAATACATGTATATAAATGTTTATAAGGTCTAATAATCAGATTCAGGTCGTTTCCTGTAAACATTTTCTTAAAAATAATTCACAGGATAATACCAAATTACGTCAATCTATTGGGGTTTGATGTTTAGGGTTTGATGGTTTGTTTGTATTTCACCACTATGAAGTACTCTGTAAAACAGAAGATCTCCAGCGATTAATAATAGATTTCCATGCTGCCAAAAGAGCTAAGACAGCTCATGTTAAGACCGTATATGTTTTATCAAATGAACTCCAGTCGAGCAGTTTCATCAGCAAAGTAAAGTGACAGCACACAAATAAAACATATGGGAAAAACAACCTATTTAATTCTACTATCACTTACATTAAAATGCCCCTTCAATAATTCAGGTGCTTTCTCTTGGCTATGATCATGTGCAGCATCATAAAAAGTAAATTTAGTAATAAAATACAGACAGAAAAATGTCAGCTGCTCTCCACCAATTTCTACTCAGCTCATATGGCACATGGCATATGCACTTGGGGCTGAACGTAAAAAAAACCTTTTTATGAGTGAAGCCGCTTCACTTTGCTTTGGCACTGGAAGGTGAATAACTACAGGAGCCATCTTGGATGCCCTGTAAGAGCTTCCCCCTGCTGCAGCGGAGAATCCCTTCTTCCCCCAGCAGCTTTGGTTTTAGTGTGTAGCCTGGGTCCACCAGTGCTTTCTGCACCCACATGCAGAAAAAAAATCCAACTAACCCCAAAAATGTGTGTGAAGGAGGACACACGGGGGATTCATGTGAGAAAGATGTGACATGAGACAATGAAGTTGAGAGGAATCAGACGGAAGAGGTGAAGGTAGAGAGGGCGGGGCTTATTGATGTAAATTATCTGTAGCCAATGGCAAGATAAGTGGCACATTTCCTTGACAGCGATGGTTTCTAGGGACCCACTGAGATGAGCTTTGTTCCCTCTGTTTTATTTGTCACTTATACACCTGAGGTGCAGGGACGGTTCTTGGTGTCAATTTTGCTACAGTTTTGCTCGAGCATGTTCAACTCATTTGAAACATTCTCCTGCTTTTAAAAATCCTTTTGCCCATTTTGACGTAATTTGACAGTTGAGAGAAGTTCGAGCTGCATTTAGAAGCCCTTCTTATGTGGCAGCCATTTCCCTTTGATGTATCTTATTCTTGATGCAGCGACAGCCCAACGTCCCCGTGGAGATAATTTCAGTTCAGTTAGATCTCACACATGCACACACACGCACACAACCGAATGCTGTAGCACAACACAGCTTAGAGCAGCATTAGATAACGGTAAAGCACACACACAATCCAGCACACTAGTAGTAGTCAAAGAGTTTGTGTGTATGTGTGTGTGTGTGTTTGAAGAGACTTGTGTACACACCAGCCATCAGGCAGTGCAGAGGAGCCAGGATTAGAAAGCTTGTATCTGTTAGTTTCATTATGGGCCAATGGGATAAAACCAGTGTTTGAAAAATGGGGAAATGGGAAACAGAGCAAAGAGAGAGAATAATTTCAAATGTTATTTATTTCTATCTCTCTCTCTTTAACAGTATTCTTGTTTTTTCACCCTCACATCTCGTTGTCTCTCTGTGTTTCTTTTCCTGACCCCCTCCAGGCACAGCCCTACACAAACACACACACATATATCCACAGCATTAACATAATCATGATGTTATGCACAAATAAGCAGCATGCGCCTCATAAATATGATCAGAGATGACATAAGCTCGTGTAGGTCACCTTCTGGGTTAATTGACAGATAAGACATCTAAAGTTATGGCTGAGCAAGCTCTCTGATGTGTGTTTAACTATATGTGTTTGTGTTATTATTGATGTTTTTCACATTATAAAAAGAACTAAAAGAACACAAGCGATGGCATGTGTTGACATGAAGCTTCTTTAATAACCAGTTAACCTGATGGCGACACTCAATCTGAAAGATTCGGCTACTTATGTAATCATCTGGTTAATTTAAAGGGTTTAACTCAGCTGATACAAACAAAATAAATATTAACCATTTGTATAAAGGTTAATGGTGTTAGAGAAGCACACCAATGGAGTTATTCTTGCAAAAATATTTGCACTTTGATAACATGTTTCCATTTGATGCCACTTTACAACCACAGCTGCTACTTTTAATCCTAAAGAACAGGTCCATATTTTATTTTATTTTCTTTTGAAGCACATTCTCATATGAAAACTGAAACCGTTTTTTTCAGCTGTAATGATTTTTTTCTGTCCTTCCTGGCTGTGCAGACACCCCATCTTAATCCTAATGTAAGAGACAGGAGACAAAATCAATTGTGTAAGTTCTGTGTGGAGAAAAAAACCCCAAACATTTTAAAGTTGCATCAAAGCTTATATAACAAAGTCAGTAAAGTCAAATCAAGTGGGCATCTTCCAAAGTCATTTTCAGTGTGAAATTCACTCCCACTGCGGCTCAGAATGGAAACACTGTGTGGGAAAAAACAGGAAGAGGAAAATCTGCCATCAAATAACTGTAAATATAAATGATTTTCACATCCCCAGACAAAGCCTCATCGCCATTTCTACACAGAACATATCTCTTTCACTGGAATCAAATTAGGAAACGATCTCCTTGTGGCCAGTACGGAGCGGAGGACCAACTGCAACAGCAACCTCTTCAATGTGCATGTGGACCAGTGAGTATTGAAGTCAGACGGACATTAGAACAATGTGAAGCTATCCTTGAAAGGAGGGTTGGTGATTTGTTTCTGAAACGCCTTTGTGCTCTCACCACAGAAGCAAGCGAAGAGTCACGGAGCAGCCGGCTTCGAGCAGTTGTCAGTCAGTGCACGTTCATGTGTTTTGAGGGGTGTATCTTTGATGAGAGGGCCGATGGGAGGGGGTGGGATGTATCAAAATGCATTTTTATGTAGCGTGCCCTGCTTCTGCTTGCTTTTCCAAGATTACCGTCCCCAAGTTAAATATGGGCCAGTATATCTGAACACCTCCTCAGATATTAGACAGAAAAGACAATGCATTAGAAGTAGCAAAAGACAATACATGAGAACACGTTCACTGTCACCTACAAATTCAATCTGTGCTCAGATTTCACAACCATTGTGACGGTTTGTCAGACTATTGGATGCTGAAGCTTTAAGATAATTTAAATTGCCTTCATAAACTGTGTCACAGCCATGGCTGCTGCTCCAACTGCAGACCACGCTGATCAGCCGGATAAATCAGCAATAACTCATTTCTCAGCATGCATTGAGTTCTATGCTTACAGCCGGTACATGCTGTATATCACGCCATATTAAGGGAAGTCACTGGAGTTATGGGGCATTTCTTGTATTTATGATGCACCGGTGGAGATTGTACCTGTTCATAGACACGGCCCACCCTGCAGGTGGAGTTACGAAGATCTGTTTCCGTGACAACGCCCTAACAAAACCTGTCCTTTACATCTGTGGCAATTAAAGAAAAGACGAGAAAATAATTCCTTAAAACAATGAATGACTACAGCGGAAG